ATTTTCTTAGCAACCAAATGATAATTTGACTTCTTTCTTTCACCTTAATTGGATTGCATTGGATCTGTAGATTGGTAATTTTCCTTTGGCATTGTTCGTTACGTAAAACTGTAGTAGATTATATAGATATTAGTAATGTAGTGCTTAACCATCTGTTTCTCTGCTGAGGAATTTTGGGAAATGGAATAGCTTCTAGTCATATGCATTTGGGCTTAGCTGAGATGAAATGTGTTCCAGGTTAGATAGGGAAAACCTAAGATCAGTTTTTTCTTCGGCTTCCAATACCCTCCCCTCAAAGTTTTGGTATAATTTTCAGTTTAACTAGAACAATTTCCCCCACATTTTCCTGCTATCTTTTGTGTTTTTGCTTCCTGGGATGCAATGCTAACTTGGTCGAGTGGCGTGAAGGTTGTAATGCATTGTAAGGTTTTGTTTCAATTAAGTGAAAGCTTACAGTTTACAGCTTGTGACATTTTTGCTATGCAAGTTAATGTAGATGTACATATGGAATTAGTACACATGCACAGAATGTGTGAGGGAAGCTGGATGTTTTTACACAAATTATGTTTTATACTTCAATTGATTTTCTTGTTTGACTTTATAAGAACCGCGGCATTTGTATGTTTGTCAGCTAAGTGTTGAATGGATCAGAGACCGGGACAAAGGTGAAATTTGTGAACAAAGGGCGAGGGAGCAGATAGTTGTGAACCAATCTATGGAGTCTGGAGAGTATGAGGAAGGCATGGAGGTTGAATTCTCTGCAAATGGGAATTCCATGAAAGCAACAGAGGTTCAGGCCAAGCTTGATGAAGGAAATATTCAGGAGGCAGAGTCTTCATTACGAGAAGGGCTATCACTCAATTTCGAGGTTAGTTTATGCCATCATCGATAGGTGTCAAAAAGAAACCATCTTTTCCATAAGTTTATCTCTTTCTGTACGACTATTAGCACCAATCAGAGTAGTGCTTTGATGATTGATTATGACTTATCCAAGATGAAAAACACTCATTTCTGATAATCTACAGGAAGCAAGAGCCCTTCTTGGAAAGCTGGAGTATCAAAGAGGTAACCTAGAAGGTGCACTTCGTGTGTTTGATGGCATTGATCTTCAAGCTGCCATAGAGCGATTGCAACCTAATCTTGCTGAGAAAACACCTTCTAAGAAGGGCCGATCTCGTTCTGACTCACAGCATACAGTCCCACAGCATGCTGCTACTCTCGTTCTTGATGCCATATACTTAAAAGCCAAGTCTCTACAAAAGCTTGGGAGATTAAAAGGTTTGGTATTGTTCCAGTAATTTATGTGACGGTTTTCCATTATCTTTTACCTTTTTAAGTTTGAATTCAAGTAAATTGGAATCTTGTTTTATGTGTTTGCAGAAGCTGCTAATGAATGCAACAATGTTCTTGATGCCGTGGAAAAAATATTCCATCAGGGCATACCTGATGCACAAGTAGATGGCAGATTACAAGAGACAGTCAGCCAATCTGTGGAGCTTCTTCCTGAGCTTTGGAAGCAAGCTGGCTACCCTCAAGAAGCAATATCTGCTTATAGACGTGCCCTACTTAGTCAATGGAACCTTGACAACGACTGTTGTGCAAGAATTCAGAAAGGGTTTGCTGTGTTTTTGCTGTACAGTGGAGTAGAGGCTGGTCCACCCAGTTTAGGTGCTCAGGTTGAAGGTTCATATGTCCCTAAAAATAATCTGGAGGAGGCTATTCTGCTTTTGATGATCCTTTTGAGAAAATTATCCCTAGGTAAAACCAAATGGGATTCATCATTGATGGAACATCTAACGTTTGCTTTATCTTTATGCAACCAAACTTTTGTTTTAGCCAAGCAACTTGAAGAAATCATGCCTGGAGTATATCACCGTGTTGATCGTTGGAATTCTTTAGCCCTTTGTTATTGTGGAGCAGGACAGAACCAAGAGGCTTTGAACCTATTAAGGAAGTCTTTGCACAAACATGAACGACCAGAGGAACTGATGGCATTGTTATTGGCCGCCAAAATCTGCAGTGAGGATTCCTATGTTGCAGCTGAGGGAGTGGGATATGCACAAAGGGCTATTAGCAATGCTCAGGGGTTGGATGAACATTTAAAGGGTGTAGGACTTCGCTTGTTGGGTCTTTGTTTGGGGAAGCAAGCAAAAGTTTCTTCCTCTGACTTTGAGAGGTCACGTCTTCAGTCTGAAGCACTGAAATCACTAAATGAGGCCATTAATTTGGAGCCGAACAATTCAGATTTGGCTTTCGAGTTGGGTGTTCACTACGCTGAGCACCGAAATCTAGATACTGCTTTGCGCTATGCAAAAAAGTTCATTGATCAAACAGGAGGCTGCCTAATAAAGGGTTGGAGGTTGCTTGCTCTTGTTTTGTCTGCTCAACAGCGATTTTCAGAAGCTCATGTGGTCACTGATGCTGCTTTAGATGAGACCGCAAAATGGGAACAAGGGCCACTTCTCAGGCTTAAAGCAAAGCTAAAAATCTCCGAATCGTTACCCATGGATGCAATTGAAACTTATCGTAACCTTCTTGCTTTGGTTCAAGCTCAAAGGAAATCCTTTGGGCCTCTCAGAATTAGTCTTCAGGTTAACATTCTGACTACTGCTTTACGTTCTTCACTTCGTATCAAAATAGAGTCTATCCAGATTCCTCCTAAATATAAGAGTCCTCCCTAAGCTATTATTTGTAGTGGTGGGAAAATGGTATTATATTGTGAATCTGCAATATTTGGGAGGAAGTTCAGAAATTTGATCTGATTGTTTCATTCACGTAGTTTTTTTTTTCAGATATTGGGGTTGGTATGTGAACGCTGGATTAAGTTGCTTTATCTGAAGATATCGGTTGGGTTGGGGTGGGGGTAGGGGTGCTTAAAGGTCGTTATGAGTTTGATTTACAAGGTGGGGCTAGTTCTGCACTTTAAAAGATGGACAAACTTTAAAATATACCAAGATGTGTGGCACTGTCTAGTAACTGGGAAACGAGTAATTGTTGCCATTCGATTAACATTTACTTGTTCCTCTTTCATTTTCAAATTCATTTCTGATGCAATATTTTGTGTATCTAAAATTACATTTTAAATATTTTCTCAACAAGTTGTTCCTTCCTATGTTTTTGTTTGCCTTTTTATATAGGTTGAGGATGATAAAGTCAATGAATTTGAAGTTTGGCATGGATTATCAGACTTATACTCTAGCCTTTCATATTGGAAGGATGCTGAAATTTGTTTGAGCAAAGCCAGAGAGCTGAAGCAACACTCTGCAGAAACGCTGCATGCGGAAGGTAAGAACTAAACTCGTGTGCTATAATTAATGGATTTCTAAGGCATTTCTATTCTATTTCCTAGAAAGTGATGCATGAAAATCTCCAAAGTGTCTTTCAAGGGTGAGTTTTAATCATGAAGGAACTAAATAGTGTGACAGAACTTTCAAACACTTCCAACACTAGGGGACCTAACGTGGCACAGAAGCCGTGTACCTTCATAGAAATGTAATGTGATCATTTGATATGCATTATGTTGACTGTTAAATTACATCATGTGTAGGTGTCATCTTTGAAGGACAGGGACAAATTCAGGAAGCTCTAGCCGCTTATATCGATTGTCTTCTGCTAGAACCCTGTTATGTTCCGTGCAAGATTTTGATTGCCGCTCTTCTGTCAAAGATGGGATCAACGGCATTGCCTGTGGCAAGGAGCTTGCTGTCGGATGCATTAAGGATCGATCCTAGCAATCGAAAGGCTTGGTATTACTTGGGAATGATTCACAGAGATGATGGACGAATAGGGGATGCCATAGACTGCTTCCAGGCAGCTTCCATGCTTGAAGAATCTGATCCTATTGAAAGCTTCAGCTCTGTTCTCTGATGTCTCCCTCTGAAAGAGCCACTCGGGGAACTCGGAATCTGCTTAACTTTCATCTCATTCATCTGTTGAAGGGAAACATTTTTTTGAGCGTATTACGAGAAGAAACGAAAGCAAGGGAAGCAGAAGCTCGTTTGATTTTTGTGCATTGGAGAAGTGAAAGTACAGGAGATTTTTTTTTCTTTTATTCTTTGTTTTGTTTTCATTTTTGGAGGGCTGGTTTTTAGCAATACTTTTGCTCAGCTGTGTAAATGTATGTGGTTTAACTGAGCAAAAGTATTTATCTAAATGAAATTCACACATTCATTTTATTGAGTTGTATCAATTGTATCTTCTCATGCTCTCAGTTTTGGAGGGCAGGTGTTACGCACACCGTTATGTAGCGTTACAAATTCACTTTACATAACGCATATTTTTATTTTATTTTATCAAATATTATATTCTAAGTTCATACGGTATCAACAATATTGTCAACGTATATTGTAGTACGTGGATTAATAACACCTCCCGGTAGTGCCACCAGGCACCACGCCAACAGTCCTATGTTCTCCATCCTCAACTCCATCTCCACTATTTATTTATCGTATAAATACAATTTTTCTCCAAGGAATGTATTTCGAGGGTGATATAAACAATAATTTGGGTTTGGAAGTGGGTATTTGAGGCTTTGCGTCCACCCCAGATGGATAAGAAATGCAAGTGGGAAGAGGGCCCAGCAAGCTGCAGCAACACGTGAAGGGGGAAGTGGTGGTCCCGCGGGTCAAAAGCAACATGACCGCGAGAGATTCGCTGTGGGTGGGCTCACAACAAGCCCAGTTTCTATGATTGAGATCGGTAGAGCCATTGTCATTCAAAGCTGCCATGCCTCCTGGGTTATATGATTATTGTGGCGAGCCCAACTACATCTTTTTGTAAATCCCACGGCTCAAAATCAATTCTAACGGTAATAAAAAAAATCTAACGGTTTAAATATAAATTTAAACGGTCAAAATAATACTATTAATTAGTTTTAAAATCAGATATACCCATTGCATTTGACCATTAATAATAATATTAATTAATATTACTTTAATATATTTTTTGTATTGATTTGGAAGGAAAAGCTGCAGCAGCCAAATGAGAAAATCGACTAACGCTGAGCGGCTGATAAGTTGTAGTATTCAAATTCTACTTTGTAATTTGGGTAACGGATATCACAATTAAACGGAGGCCACCTAAATATCACAATTTATTTATAATATTCCGTTACCTATTTTATTCTTAGGCTATATTTTATAATAATAATAATAATAATAATTCAGTGATCGTCCAATGATTGTGCAAATACTGATATATGCCACTCACATGAGACCTGCAAACACAAAACACCACTGCTTGATCCACAGGGAAAACAGTAATTTTCCACACCCTTTCCCAGCCACCCCAATCGAAATGGCGAGTTTATGTGAGCCATTCTGACGTGAACGTATCTTCAAGACTTGGGTTCATGTAGCCGGAGGATGGCGGCCGGGAAGTTACAGGCGGGAGATAAGAAGCGGTATAGACATGGCCTCCTCGCCCATGACTGGCTCGAACAAATCCAACTCCCCATAACGCTCAAGAACTCTCATCCTGCAGTCTTCGGCTGCCATTGCTCCAGTAGCGAATGCACCGTGCACTGAGCCTGGGAAGTCCACACTTGTTGCCTCCCCGGCAAAAAATAGGGTATCCACCGGGACCCTTAGCTTCTCGTACAGATCATGCGGTTTGCCTACCATGTCGTAGCTATAAGACCCGAGCGTGTTAACATCGCTACCCCAGCGAGAAACAAGATGCTGAATCTGCAAAGTTGGAAAGGGATCAATTAAGTTAGGGTTCAAAGATTGAAAGAGACTAAATCGCATTTCAGTGTCTGATATGGAGTTTTGGAAACAAGAATTACCGGAGTAGAAGCGTCTGGAAGGATCTTCTTGAGTTGCGTAAAAGCAAAATTAGCAGCCTCTTCATCAGACATTTTCTCTATGTCTTTAGCCAGCTGCCCTGCAGGCATATAAACAAGCACAGAGTGACCGGTTGCCTTGTGAAGATTTAGAAAGTAGCTGCAGCAGTAAGATGTGTCAGCAACCACTCCTAAGAACTCCACGTTTGGCCAAAACACATTTTCAAAGTGCAATACGATTTTATTCTCAATTCCCACTCCGAGGTCTTCAATGGCTGCTTCCTTCCAATCGGGTAGCTTTGGCTCAAACGTTATGCTCTTTGCTTTAAGCACACCGAGAGGAACAGCAACAACAGCAGCATCTGCAACAAACGTTCTCCCATCCTCTACTGTTACCTTCACCCCATTATATCGCCTTGTTATTTTTTTGACCCTGAGAATAGGAATGTACAATGCTGGTTAGTTTAGCTGCATGCAGATTGCCGAACATATATAAAACAACATGGTCGTACCCAGTGCACAAGGCTCCCGCTTTACGCAGGGTCTGGGAGAGGTGAATGTCGGCTAGCCTTACCCCCATTTATGGAGAGGCTGCTCCCAAGTCTCGAACCCGAGACCTACCGCTTATGGGCGAAGGCACTTACCATCGCACCAAGTGCGACCTCTGATATATAAAACAACATGAATAAAAAAAAATGCATACCTGTGGCTCAAGCGTACATCGAGACCCTTGGCAAGGGTGTTAATAACAGGGAGGTAACCCCTGACCATCAGACCATGACCACCAGGGAGCAGTTCTTCCTATATAAGAGAATAAAAAACTATAATTAAATCACCTAGGTTATAAACTCGTTAATGCAAAAATTCGGATTAACGTACACTGACATAATAATTTACAGTTGAATTAAGACTCAGAAAGGCAATGCGTTTATTAGTAATCTGATGGATGAGAAACTTGCCTGATCCCAGCATTTAAGTGAAATTGTATCAGCATCTGCAGCAAACCAACCTTCCATTCTGCACAAATACCACTGCAGTACCTTATGCGCAACTCCTTCCAACCTGTCCAACATAAAGCATAACACTTTCCCTAAACTATTTCTAGACCAACAAGACGTAAACAACTGAAACAACGTAATTAAATATGATTTTAAATTATGTACCTTAATTCTGGTTTCCTTTCAAAAACAATTGAGAAAGCACGGGCAATGGGCATGTCCTCACTAAATTCCTGTCTTACCGCGTCTGTCTGCATTAAGGAAACAAAAGCATATCAAAGAATGGCCAAAATGGCAAGACACTATTTAAGGCTTAAGATAAAAGCAAAGAAACAATAAGAGTATTTCAAAAACCCAAGTCTACAGCTTTAGAAAAATAAAATATACACATCAGATGACTTGCCTCTTTCAAAATGTTCTCAAATACTTCGCCAACTTTCGTGACCAAATCTTGAGGAACTTGATTCCCATCCATATCAAAGAGTGCATAGCTGCAAAGAACACAAGAAAATCTCCATGATGTCAGACATGCCGGTGCACATGACAGCTGGGGAGAAAGAAATCAACTTCAAAGAAAAGAGAAAGCAATGTATTACCATCACAAATATTTAAACACACTTGAACGTATCAACCGTATATATATTACATTGTAGACTGCTGGTAATACTGTAAATTGTCGACGGCATACCTTGGTAATATACTAGAATGTAGGAGTATAAAGCGACAAAACAATTTAGACCCAAAAACAAAGAACCAAGCACTGTAAAACTAAAGCAATGCTCACCGACAACCCAAAATTGAACAACATTTAAAATTCACATCATTTCAATACAGCCACTCATTTCAATACAACACCTACATAAAGGGAGTATCAGTTTGAGGAAGATATTAGTACCTTTCCAAGTCATGGTCATATAACACAGAGTTATCTCCACTCGTACGGTATAAGGGTAACCCCAGTCTCCCAATCAATGGTGCCAATGGATTCTCTTTGCATACTCCGTGCAACCTGAAGCATCAAACAACAAAATTTAGGCTTCTAAATTCAAGTCATCCGAATTCAAAATTCAGGCGAATCGAATCCCTATTACAAGCAGGCAATCCACATTCTTGGCTTACCATGATGCACCCAAATCAATGGGGAAACCGAATGAGTAATCGGTGCAAACTCGACCGCCAAGTCTATCTCGAGACTCCAACAGCACAACCTGACCATCAAAATTCAAAATTCAACAAAACCCATAACTGCAAATTTCAATGTGCAAAACACTGAGCTGGGATTTCCATCTGGGTACCTGAATTGAAGCATCGTGGAGAGCACGTGCGGCTGAAACACCCGCCATGCCGCCGCCTATAACTATTACAGACGGAGACGGCGCCGATCGCTGCCTCTTCTCACCATTTGAGCAAAGAGCTGAATTTGCACAAGAAAAATACCAAACAAATTAATTTTACACATAATCCAGGATTACGAACTTTTAAAAGAAACGAACTTTTAAACCCCACATGGAAATTAAAAAGGTAAATGTGAACGGACCTCTTCGCAATTGGTGATTACTCTTGCTTCCAGACGCCATGGTGATTCAAATCGAAATTGGTATTGGAATTAAAATTAAAATTGGGATTAAAATTAAAATTAGATAATAATAATAATAAAGGATCGAGGGCTTTCTTCTCGAATTTAAGAATGGTAAGAGGCAATTGAGGGGAGTAATGGGGAATGAAGAGCAAGAGACACGTAATGAAGTGATTGGAATTGGAATTGGAATTCAATGTCCTCTTTGAAAAACCGAGCTCTCCCAACCAGCTCATGCGACTTTCTTGTTACCAAACGATTTCTCAAACAGCTGCGATCGCCGATCGGATTCCGATTTCCGGCGAGATATCGAGCGCAATCGAACAATGGAGAGATCGGGGGGAGGGGGGTGAAAGTCGGGATTTTTGGCCGCGGATTTGGGTGCAAACTGGAATTTAGTGGGTTTTGTGAGAAATTGGTGAAAACGACACGTGAATTCTGGAGAGAGAGAGAGATTTGATTCCCACCGCCCTGGTTGCCGTGGGTATATATAGACAGCTAGGCCAGCCCCAACAGGTTAAGGAGATAAAAGTATTCTCAACTCGCTGGGGTATCTGGATGTGTACTCGCTTCAGGATTGTGCCGCGTGGAGATGATATTTTGGAAATTATAGGGACTCTGATTTCAAATTTTCGCGCAAAAATGGATTTTCCCGAGTAGGGTTAAATGTGGCAACAACTGAAAAGAAAGTGAAGCGTCAATTGTCGTACCGTGTACGGTATTCAACCTGTTTTTTTTTAACAAATAATATTATTCACATTAAGAAAGAAGTTGTAGATTTAATCTCACAATAGATTAACAATAATATATCTTTTATTTATTTTTTATTTTTTATTTTTTGTATTTATTTTTTATTTTTTATTTTTTGTTCTTTTCTTAAGTTTATCCAAGTTTTTTCTTACAAAAAAATAAAAAATAAAAAATAAATCTAATAATTTTATTTAATGAAAATGACTAAAAATTTAATATGATAAGTAAAAAGGCTTTTTATATTAGCACCCCACAAAATGTTGAATGTACCCCACATTAAAATTTAGGGGTGTGATATCCACACACCCCATTTTACTTCTCACACACCTTTTTAATTTTCGGCTGTCGGATCAGATGAATTGAAGAAGATCAACGGACATAAATTATCAAGGGTGTGTGAGAAGTAAAATAGGGTGTGTGGATAGCACACCCCTAAAATTTAATATTAAATGACTTATTTATCCCACTATACAGTGACAATTTTGACCTTATTGGATTTAAAAATGTTCTAAATACACTTCAAATCACTTTTAGTGTATTATTTATCTTCTCAACTGTCATAACACTCTCACCCTCTATTGTTGAATAAAACCCTAACCAATAAAACTACAAACATGTTGATTGAGAAAAATTGTTTTTGACGAATGGAAAGGCCTAAATTGATGATCGTATCCAGAAACAAATCAAAGAGCAAAACCAATGAGGACTTGTTGGTGGAAATGTCTGAGAAAATTGGGTTTGAAGTTGAAGTTCTTAGACCTAATTCGAGCACCAAGTTGGCAAAGATTTATTGGGTTCTTAATTTGAGTGATGTCGTGATAGGGGTTCAAGGTGCTACAATGACATATTTTCTGTTCATGAGACCTGGCTCTATGTTGATCCAAGTGATTCCTCTTGGAACTAGTTGGGCAGCTGAGGCATAATTTGGGGAACCTGCAAGAAAGCTTGATTTAAACTACATCGGCTACAAAATTCTTCCCATAGAGAGCTCGTTGTACGAAAAGTATGGTAATTAAAGATGATCATGTTCTTAAAAATCCAGCAATGAAGCCATTACTGATGTTATCCTACTTAACGATGGTAAACATCTGTCAATGCAAACTATGCTAAGACGATTTCAAAACATTCGACAAACTAAACGTCTAGATGATTCGAAATATTTCTACAAACTAAACGTTCAAATGGTTAGATTCAGTCCTTGAAAATTAAAAATGAGTGTTATAAGATTTGAGAAATGTGAGGTGTATAGAAAACGTGGGGTGTATGTACAAAATATAAGGTGTATATTGAGAATGCGGGGTGTGGGGGTATTATGGGAAAGTATGTGGGGTGTATTAAGATAATTTTTAAGTGAAAAAAAAATGTGGGGTGTATTAAGTATGTGTGGGTTTATTCAATAATTTGTGGGGTGTTAATATAATAAGCCTAAGTAAAAAACATAAAATAGGTTAACAGGCAAATCTCGCACATCTCTACTTTTCTCTCTCTCTCTCTCTCTCTCTTCTTTATCTTTTCCTCTCCCTCTCTTCACCCATCACCATCATCTCTCTCGTTTCTTTCACTCGTTACAAACATCATCTCTCTTCTTTTTCACACATCAATATCATATCTCTCTTCTCTTTAATGTCACTCCTTCCTCTATCCCTTTCCTTTTTTATTTATTTTGTGAGAAAATTGTAGAAATAGTCATTCAACTTTAATTCAATTGGAGCAATAATTCTTCAACTAAAAATTCATGATAATTGGTCTCTTAACTTATCAAAAACGTGCAAATATGGTCATTTTTGTCTACTCCATCAGAATTCCATCAAAATGAGCCGTGTTGAAATGACCGTTACTACAACTGAGTTAAAGTTTAGGTACCATTACTCCAATTATGTTAAAGTTGAGGGATCATTTCTCCAATTGGGTTAAAGTTGAGGGACCATTACTACAAATTTTCTCATTTGCTTTTCCATATTTGTTTTTTGATTCAACCTCACGTGTGTAGCACGTTACTCATTTTAACGGAAGTTCTAATGAAATTGACGGAAAGTTGATGAGAGGTGGCTGGGAGGAGAGAGGGGAGAGAGAAGATAGAGAGGTGGATGAGAGGAGAAATGAGAGAGAGAAATAAAGAGAGAGGGTGGCGATGGGTGGAAAATGAGAGAGGGAGGGAGAGAAAAATGAGTCTTATTGGGCCAGTTTTATTGAGCTGTTTAATTTGAGTTTTGTCATAACTATTAAACAAAGTTATTAAGATACTTTTGGTTAAGATTCAAATTTTTGAAGTCATTTTCATTAGTATTCCTTCATAAGAAAAAAGTTAACAAACATATTTCACGTAGAACTCGGTCCAGTGAATTGTGCTACGATGGATATAATTTATGTAATTTATCAAAAATATAAAAAATGAGATTCAAACTTAAGGGTAGATGATAAATCATAAAACACACAACTACAACCAACTTGGGTAAACAGTAAATCCATATTTAAGAGATGTATTAATGCCAACAGGATCCTCTCCAGATCCTTTTGGTGAGAATCTTGAAATCTATAAATCGTGTCCGTTCATCGTACATCATGCGGTCAGTTTTTGTCAGGTATTATTTGTATTCAATTTTAAATAAAAATAATTAAAATGATTTCTGATCGCACGATGTACAATGAACGGATATGATTCACGAATTTCTAGGATCCTCACAAAGAGAATCCGGCGAGGACCTAGATTCGTATTAATGTACCACTTTTGTGGGCTTTGTCAAAACACATTGAGCTGTAAATAAAGTTATATTTACGTGTCAAATTAATTGTTTGCGCACATCTTTTAAGAGAATGATAGGAGTTGGGTTAATATTGAATAATAAGAAAACATGGGTAGTATTATAAGGGGGTGTTTGTTTTCCTTCACTATAGTTCACTGGACTGGACTGGACTAAGGCTTAGTCCAGTCCCATGTTTGTTCCCCATGGGGCTTAGAGTTAATGAGATTAGCTCTCACTCGCCCCGACTAAAACAGGGCCTAGCCAGTCTTAGCAAAGCCCCCAAAAACCATGGGATTGCTAATCCCGTCTCCAAACTTGCGTAGAACGATCGCATGCAGCAAGGCTTATGAACTGCAAATCTGCAAAAATGCTTCTGGGCGACTTTGTTTGCCAACCCATGTCCAGATCTGAAACCCAGCCCCACCCACAGCCTAAATCTCAACACCAAAATTCAAAAACATATATGCAAAATGATGATAAACAACAATCCCAATAGCAAAATTCTTCCTTATTCTTGAAAATTCCCAGAAAATTTCCAATTTTTTTTCCTTTTCCCCAGAAAATTTCGGAAATAATGGATAGAGAAGGGGAGAGAGTAGCTTTGGGACAAAGAGATATGGAGAGATAGAGAGGGAGAGGATAGTAGCATGGGGACGATTTGCAAGAAGAATGATTTGAAGGATTTTGTGTTGCAGGAAAAAGATGGAGAAAGGAAGTGACGGGGACAAAATTAAAGAGGAAGAAAAGGGAAGAACTCTCTAGAGAGAGAGGTGGTGCGTGTACTTTGGAAATAAAAAGGAAAAAACTTGATTTAGTAATAAAATATTATTGAATGAATAATAAAATATTATTAGATGTGTATTATATAATATAATATTATAATTATTAGTTATCATGTTTTTTAGTCCGACACTACATCAAACGCATCACTAAATCAATCCAACTTAGTCTAGTCTAACTTAGTCCCTGAAACTAGTCCAGTCCGAGATAGTCCGGTGCAACAAACGCACCCTAAAGGGCTAATCAAATGATTTTCCTTCTCAATTGAATCTTTATCATTTTGTCACACTCGCATCATCGAAACAACTTGAACTTTGAGAGGTAGTTTGGCTCATTTGAAGAAGTATATTCGAAACTTGTACACACAAGGACAAATCTTCCACAGACCGAGAAGTGTAAACTTGTGGGAATTCCCGAATAGATACAATAGGCACGAAATGTAAAAATATGTTGCATGTAAAATTTCTACAATATAACATGTTTGTAGACAAATACACTCGTGGTATTGACATTACACTCCTCTTCCTATTTGGTGATATTTATAAAAATAAATGTGGTCATCTCAAGCCTCATCCAGTGGCGGAGCCAAGATTTTTTGTGAGGATGGGCCTCTTACAAAGGTTCTTAAAAAACGATGCATCAAAGGTAATTAAAATTCCAAAATATATATGCATCGATAATATTTCATTCATTTTATGATCGAGATCGTTCATATTATAAATTACTATAAAAAGAATATGCATTAAAACTAAGATCATTTCGTCAATAATTGTAACAAATAGATAGACCATTCGTAATGCTTTTATTGAATCCGTCTATCTGTTTCCATACAGTTCGATGACAAAAATCTTAGTTTAATTGATTTTTACAAATATGATATTTATATATTAATTTAGGGTAAATTTTCGTTTGACCCCTAAACTATAATCCCAGTTGAAATTGAGCTCCTAAACTTTTTTTTTTGATAAATTAACCCCCTAAACTATGTAAAATCAGTCAATTAATCCCTTATCATTAGAATGCGAAATCAATTCCGTCAAATTCAAGGGCAAATTAGTCCTTTCATGATTAATTGTTACTTGTCAGCTATAACCACCAATAAAATTTTGACACATGGACACAAAATTATCCAAAAACATATAGCATAATGAGAAAATATTAAAAATGAAAATAAAAACCAACACAT